GCAGGCCATCTTCTGAGCACCCCCGCTGCTGCCAGCCACCAAACTGCCACGGCACCTCCCTTACATGGTAGCCCCATATTCAAACATAGTAGGCCACAGGCAGCCCCACATTACTCTTAACAGGCCCACAGAATATGGCACCGAGTGCCCCTAAAACGATATGCAAACAGCAACCTACCTCAACAGCCTATACAAGAAAACAAGGGAAACAAAATACAATGTTGGAGGTAGTCTTAAATGTAATTACACTCATAGAAGAAGCAGATGTTGATCTGCCACAAAAAGATATTCACAAGGGGAAAAAAGAGGGGCTGATACCAAGGGCTCAATAGAAAATAACTGTCTAGAAAAGAATGATAGCAACATATGTACAAATTTGCCTGAGACAATTGATGTATGGATTGTAGTAAGCATTGTAAGAGCTCTCAATAAAATGATTTTTAAAAAGAAGATATCCACAGAATGCTTCTTAGAGTTATACAGGATATTAGGGAAGCAATACAGAATAAGGATACAACAATTGAGGAGATGAAGTTCACACACTAAAGGGAAATACAAGAGTTAAGGGGCAAGATAACAAAAGCAAAGAACAAAAAGCAAAAGACTTTGAGGAAAAGCAAAAATTTATAAGAGCAGCTACAGAAAAAAAGGCAGTCACATACAATAGTACTCAGGTAAGAATATGCTCAGACCTATCAGTGGACACCATGAAAAGGAGGAGAGAGTGGACTAACATCTTCCAAAACTTGAAAGAGAACAATACCAATCCAGGAATCCACCAACACGCCCCCCCAACTGTCTATCAAAATAGATGGTAAGAGTCTTCACTGATGTGGTAGTCACCTAATTTGGTGTCAAATTGAGGATTAATAGTGCAGGGGTGGAGTGTAGCCTGTTGTATTAATCTGGGTACGTTGGAGAAACAAATCCACAGCAACTCATGTATAAGAGAGAGTTTTATGTAAAGAAAATTTGCATCATGAAGACATCCCAACCCAATGCT